TCTCTTAACAGAAAATTAAGAGAAAAAATAGGAGAAATTTAAGAGATTTTTGCTCCACGAGGTGCATTGTGTGGGACTTTTCCTCTGCTGAACATGGTCTGACCATGTGACCATTTCAACAGGTATAAGAAACAGCCATTTTGTATTTGCCCTGATGAAGGTCTGAATGGCTGAAATGTGGAAACATAGGTTTTAGGTGTAAATAGCCCTGAGATATTGATCAGATTTCTTCCAAATACAGTCTATTTTTCCTTTAATCAGCACCAAATTACGTAGGAAACTTTAAGGAAGTTGTTGAAAGACAACAGACCCATCGAGCATCAGCAAGTTAAGATTTATCTCGAGGTTTTATAAACGTACAGACGTAAAAGTAACCACATCGTTGTTCCCGACAGCTAAAGACGAAGCAGACTCCGGTAATGACCACAAGGCCGACGCCCCCCTCCTCTCTGAGGGTCCTCTGCAGTCTGCGACAGTGCAAACTGCTCCTCCACCTCCTCCTCCTCCTCCTCCACCTCCAGGCTCAACCAGAACTCCTCCTCCTCCGCCGCCACCACCGCCAGCGGCTCCTCCACTCCTGCTGCCTCCTGGAGGTGGTACGACCCAGACATCAGGGGACGGGAGCTCAGGTGAGTCCACAGTGAGAGCTGGTGGGGGTGGGAAAGAAAAGGTTTAACTTTAGAGGCTTTTTGTTTATTTTTATGTGATTTAAATTCTGAAACTGTCACATTATGACAGTGTTTAGGGAAAACAGCTTTAGTCCATTTATGTGTTCTGGCAGTGTGTTATTTAGTCTGATAATTGGCCATCTGGACGTCGAGGCAGTGCCTTTTACAGCAGACTAATGCCATTTATATTCAACAGTTATTTCCAAACTTTTAATAAAAAAAAGCTATTTTAGCCATTTAGATGGCTGAAGATGTCAAACTAAGTAAAATATTGCAAAAAATAAACAACCTTTTTTTTCATTCTTTCTTCTAGGTTGTAAAACTAAGAAGTCCATTCAGACCAAATACCGCATGCCGCTGTTAAACTGGCAGGCGCTCAAATCCAACCAGGTGACAGGAACCATCTTCAACGAGCTGGACGACGAGCAAGTCTTAGAGGTTTGGACCACGCCATGTTTCCACCGTCTCAGTCTGTCTGTGCTTTTTTCTGCTGTATCCTCCGTCTGTTAGCTGCATCACCAACACCTCAACCACATCCGTCAGTTTGAATTCTCTCTCTGCATATTTCTCTTTCTTTCCTTCCTTAGGAGCTCAACATGGCGGTTTTTGAGGAGCAGTTTAAGACCAAGGCCCAGTCCACGCCTGTAAACCTGGGTACCCTCAAGATGAAAATGGCCCACAAGACCCCCAGTAAAGTATCTCTAATGGAGCCCAACAGGGCCAAAAACCTGGCTATCACCCTGCGCAAGGAAGGAATGGCTGCATCTGATATCTGCTGTGCAATAGAGACGTATGTACCAAAATAATACAACTATAAAACAGCAGAATCTCCTGTACTGGATGATATTTCCATCTGAATTGAGTTTCATTATTGTACACAAGTAAGAACCTTCACTGCGTCCCCACAGGTACAACCAGAGAGCTCTGAGCCTGGACTTCCTTGAGCTCCTGGAGCGTTTCATCCCCACAGAGTACGAAATGAAGCTCATCCACAACTACGACTGCGAGGGCAGGCCCCTGGACGAGCTCAGCGAGGAGGACCGCTTCATGGTGCGCTTCAGCAAGATCCCGCGGCTTTCCCAGCGCATCAGCACTCTCACCTTCATGGGCAATTTCCCCGAGAGCGTCCAGCTCATACAGCCCGTGAGTTCAGGAGGGGGTTCAGCTGGATTCTGTTGCTTGAACTGTATTTTAAATAAGAGACCAGTGGTTCCCAACCTGGGGGTCGCCAAAGCTTCATGTGGAGTCGCGACGCCTTCTTGATTTTAAGGCGTGCTAGAAAACAAAAAAATATATACACAATAGATTTCAGCATTTGGTTCACTTCTGTGAAGAACAAAAGCTTAAATATGGTTTTGGCAGTATTGAAAGGTATTGAAATTTGAATAAATTTAAAACGACGAGCCCTGAATGAGAGTTATCTATGACAGGCTGTTGTAATCTTATACAGCTTAGATCTGAGTCCAGAAACAAATAATAATCTCAACCTTTCCAACTCTTTCCAACAGCAACTGAATGCCCTCATCGCCGCCTCGATGTCGATCAAATCTTCCAGAAAGCTGAAGAAAATCCTTGAGGTGAGTCCAGAACCGCCTATTAACAACCCCAGCTGCTGTGAGAGTAATGTTAGAGACTGCACTTTAACTCTGACTCTGCATTATGTCTTTGTGAGCGATACAGAGTCATTTGTGAAATTGCACAGTTGGGTGCTAATTGCAAAGGCTGGAAGTTGAATAACCCTTTTAATGGGAATCTGAGGGCATAAAAACCAACTCTGTATTGTAGAGTTCAGTTGTGTAATAATTGCAGTAATGATAGCAGCCAATTTCAAGTCTGTATTTTACCAGTATTTAAAGGTTATATATACTGTATATATATATAAAATTCGCTTGCTCGATGTCACACTAGCATCATCTAAACAATAGGTGCTACAGACAACCAGACTCCATAGATAAAACCAGTCATTTTACCAATCAGATAATCATAAAACTAACCAAAACTGTCACCAACTCCGATTTGGTAAAAAAAAAAAAAACTTAATTCTCAGAGTTAGATGAGTCGCTATTTATGTCCACTAAAAGTGTTTGTGGTGGGATTTAAGACTGAAAACAAAATCCATTGGACGCTTTTTTAATCTTTTGTAAAATGATGTTAATTTTTTTTTGTGGTTGAATAGTTACTTATATACTTATACTTTTTAGGAAGGAAACTTTTGGGGCAAATTTTATTTAGTTTGAGACAGAAATGAGATAAAGTTCTTCATTTAAAATATAATGTTTTATGTGAGAGGTTTTTGTTCTTTTCTGACATTCCTTTTTTTTTCTTTTTTTTTATTGGGATATAAACGGGACACCCAGATACAAGATCTCCAATTTAAATGCCCACCTGGAGTACTTTTGGTAAAACTTTATGAACCTCCTGCCAGAAAGAACTTTAATAATGGGCAGGACCAGGACGTAATGAAGAACCTCATGAGGTTTTTCTAACAAAACTCTCTTTATAAAGCTGAACATGAAGCTTTTGCATCGTCACTCACAGAAATCGTCTCATTGGTCGGCCGGTATATTCAGCTTTTCACCACTTCAGTGTTCAGCAGTGGTTTCGGTGTCTTAGACTTTAAGGGCAGATTTTGATGTAGTGTCTGACTCTGTTTCTAATTTAAAGATCATCTTGGCGTTTGGAAACTACATGAACAGCAGCAAACGAGGGGCAGCGTACGGCTTTCGCCTGCAGAGTTTAGATTTGGTGAGTACAAAGTGCATTTAAACTCCACAATGTGTCACTATTTTCTTTGTACTACAACTACAAAACAGCTTTGTGACTATTATTATAGACTATTATGACTAGTATTGAGGATTTCTATTAGTAATCCAATCATTTTCTGTCTTGTTTACTAGCTGTTAGACACCAAATCTACCGACCGTAAGCAGACATTGCTGCACTTCATCGCCAGCATCATCCAGGAGAAATACCCGGAGTTCCAGTCCTTCTACACAGAGCTGCACTTCCTGGACAAGGCGGCGCTGGGTGAGCACATGAAGTGTTGAGGTGCAGCAGTAGTAGATTGTTTTGCCCTCCCCCCTCTCCTTCTGGAAGTTATCGTCCCCAGTCTCTGCACCAGTAAAAAGATTTACTTCTTCAGTGGGAACAAATGTTCTTGGGGCTGAGCCACAGAGCAGAAAATGTGGGTTTTGGTCTTTTCATAGGATTTGTTGACAGTCAGAAAAATGTAGAGTAACACCAGGTCTTTCCTTTAATGGCAATATGACAGATTTGAGTGAAATTATTCAGCACAAAACAAAGGAAAAGGTTTTTTAATATAAATTCATCAACACCAAAAGCTAAATGTGGCAGTAATTATGTACATTCATTAACATCAGTACTTAAGCCAGTTCTGTCCTGTATTAAACTGAATGGATTTATGGGTCGTACATTCAGTCACACTTGCAGATGTGAGTGTGTGTAAAATGTTAATGAGGAGCTACGACAGCAGGAAGATCACTTTGTTCATCAGTTTTCCTTTGTGCGGGTTATCTTTCCTCTCACCCCGACACCATAGCGTGACCTTTAAATCAGCATTATTACCACATAATATAATTACTGTACCGTCAGTGTGAGGGAGCAAGCCTGCAGGCACCAGGAGGATTTATTAAGTTTTAATTTGCCCAAAAATGAAAGAAATATTTTACAAAATATGCAACAAAAGAATAAATAACTATATATATAAAAAAAAAATAATAATAAACAGAACTGTACTTGTAATAAACTTATTGGTACCCAAACCTTCTATATTCCACCTGCTTACTCAACCATTTACATCTCAGTATGTATATATTATTATTATTATTATATTACCTGTTTATGAGCTACAACCTGTTCTCATTATGTACATATACACTGTACACTTACTGTACACTTGTCCACCACAGAAT